ATAGGACGGCAGAACTGGAAAAGCTTCATGTAGTAAAAGACCTAGGGGTATACATTGATGAGAAACTCTCATTCATCACCCACGTAGAGCACATCGTAAATGATTGCAATAGAACACTAGGGTTCGTAAACAGGACATGCAAAGAATTTACGAACCCAAAAACGCTTCTTTCATTGTACTACGCTTATATACACAACAAACTGATGTTTGCATCAGTAATATGCAATCCGTCTTACAATGTACATATAGTCAGGATAGAAAGAATTCAACACAAATTTTGAAGATGTTAGCACATTAAAACTCACCAACCTGTTACAGATCATCATTATACGCAAATTATGAAACAGTTCAATATGATTTCCTTAAAAGATTAAGAAGAACGATTTCTGACATTTACTGTGTCCATTAAATTGTTGAATGGCCTCCACTGACTGTCCGGATCTTTTGGCAAACTTGAACTTTAACACTCCTGATAGAACGTTAGAACCTATCATCTGTTTAGAATATCGTTCCGTAGAACCAATCTTGGTCTTAATTCCCCTTTGTTCAGGCTCAAAAAAAATCATAATAATTTCTGTAATATAGATTTATTTAACATTAGCTTGACCTCCCTGAAAAAGGCTTTAAAGTATATGTATTACAGCTCTATGGCAGACTAAAATAGAATGTTTTATTTTTTTACATAACTCAAGTTATCACCTCCAATATCATTTCTGGTATAATTTCAATTTAATTTTGATTTCAGTTTTAATTAAACGTAAGTAAATGTTAAATTATGTTACTCCTTTTATTAAAAAAGTTAAATTAATAGTTTAATTGCTTATAATTAGAACTACTCACTCTTTTTATATCGGAGGAAAAAAAAATATTAATATTGAAGTATTGAATAATGTAATATATGTATATGTATACGATATTTTATGTAAGTTTAGTTTTAGTTCACTGAGGGTGTGTGTTGGGTTTACCTGTTAACACCCCAAACTGTATATAAATAAAATAAATAAATAAATAAATCAAGCAAAAACATTCTTCTCCATCAGTTTCATTATCTGAACAGGACTAGCGTTTTTCAATTTTTTTAGATTTCTTCATTTTTTTTCTGCATCAAAAACGTCTCTTTTCACTGTTTCCCTGTTCCTATTTTTCTTGTTCCAGCATTTATTTTTCTCTTTCTCTAATTCGTCTTACTGGAGTGTCAGTGAGTATTGCAGTCCCTCGTTTACGGCGGGAAATTCGATTCATTTTTCTTGCCGATGCCTTTGGATAAGGTCTTAAACTTTCTGGAAGTACTATATTTCCCGAATGCAGCCTTACTAAACTACTACAGCAGGGATCATCAGAACTAGTTTAATTAGCTGTTTTGCTCTCTCGTATATTATCTATTGCTTGTTAATATTTATCAGACTTACAGTTTCATCTTCGTGCAAGGTAGTTGGATTTAGCCCAACTTCCTTTCGTTTAAGGTTTCCGGGTTTGATCCACTTATTACTGCGTTCAAGATACCCGGATCTGGCCTATCAGTGACAAAGCTCACAAGAAAGTCATCATCCGTGAAAATATCTCTGTTGTAAGGAAACACACCCGATACCCAAAATCCAGACTGTATATTTTTGGGAGTAAATGCGAGGGGGTATGCAATAGAGACCACTGAAGGTATGTCGTATATAGTGATGGTCTTACCGGGATTATTGAAAACCCAAGCATCGCAGGAAGTATTTACATATGTCTTGAAAGGGCCGAAACTGGCGCGGTCAAGAGGTTGAAGTTTATGTGAACAGTGAGGGTAAAAAGAGGGCATGACAATACCATTTGCTTTGGCAAAGTTCAGTCCTTCTATACTCAGATGTGATCCATGGTTATCTAGTAAAAGCAGGCACGGTCTTTCTACAGTACTTTTCACATGAAGGTGAAAAAATCTAAGAAACTCCAAGAAATGTGACTCTTTCATCCAACCTGATAGGTTTGTAGAACCTTGTAGAGCCAGGAGGAGCCGAATTTAAAAAATGAGGTTTGAAATGTACCCGTGGAAAAATGAAAAAGGAGGTATGGAATTTCCAATAGCTGATGCTGCACTTGCTAAAGTAACAAGAGAAAGATGAAACTATCGAACCAACCTGTTTGAATCCTCTTCGGGCAACAACGCGGTCGGGTCTTAGGACAGCTGTAATCCCAGTTTCGTCCATGTTCCAGGTTTCGCGAGGCTCAAATTTATGTTTTTCCATAACTGAAGCTAAATTATCAAAAATGCGTTGACGTTCGTTTTATTGAAAACTACTGGCTCTTGCTAAACTAGTTGCTTCCGGTTTGCGAATAGACAGTACAGGATGACGTTTTAGAAACGTACTAAACCAGTTAGGACCAGCTATTTTATGGAGCTTCTAATTTTCTGGCATTTTCAAGGAATTAGCATTAGCAAATTCATATGCCAGTCCACGTACTTCCTTGGGTGATAATCCAAAATAAATATCAGATGCTTTAAGTACCTATTCCACTAGATTATTTTCAAGTTCAGGCGCAAATACTAAATGATTTTTGATGTAGACAACTGAAATTGACGGCGCAAGAAGTCGATCATCAAGTAATTCAGACTCGGGAATTTTCTTACAGTATCTTGCTAAAGTACGGTAATTTACATTGAAGTCAGCTGCCACTTTTCTTATTGAGGATCCTAATCTCACTAATCTAGCAGCTCTTAAAAGTACGTCAGGCGGCGGTTTGCCGTTCTCAGTCTTCCTTTTGAAATTTCGAACCATGCTTATGTAACCTGAAAATACCAAAAAAATACATTATATACATATACCTACGTAGAATGATGTGCAAAGCTAATCGTCTAGTGTCTGGTTGTCCCATGTGACAAGAGGCCCCCGCTAATTTGAGACAACGTGCCCCACTAGATAATTAATTTTTAAGGTTAGATAGCGTCACTAAATTAACAAATTCAAAGTCAATACTTACGTTAAGTCGTATTCGGATTATTGAAGAGCAAAATAAATTCAACAGTTCTTTTTATTATCAAATGTAGTCTTGAAAACACAAATTATGTGGCAAACGAAAAATTTACTCAGGTTAGGCGATTTGTTTATTTTTGTGTGTGCGACCTTAATCTACCAACGACAACTTTCGTACTGAATACAAGTGTTCTGCGCGGACGCAGAAACGATGTGTAGCGCGCCAGGCAACTACATCTTGCGGAGCTGCTGAGATTTAACAATTGTGACAACCAGCCCCGGTCTCCCCTAGCTTCGCAAGTTCTTCGTTCTCAAGATGTAGGGTGTTTTCTCTCAAATATCCGTTACTTGATTTCATTATCATTTGGCGATGGTATTTATAACATTTAGCCCTAACAAACAAAAAAGTTTGTCAGCCTCCATGAGTGGTTGATAGTAACTGTCCTCTCATTGATTATTTCAATTTACAATCGCTGGGTAGTGTTTGTTATTGTGATGGTAAATAACATGCTATCCTGTGAAGCTGGAAAATTGGATTATTAACATTCAAGTCGACATTTATGTCTGAGTGTTTATAATTTATCTTCCACGGATAGGTATTGTTGTAATTAGATTTAAGTACATAATGAACAGATAAATATTCGTGTGGTGTGTTTACCAGCCAGTTCCGGGTGGAATCCGGGACCGACTGCGATAAACACGCGTGATTATTGCAGTTTATACCTTCGAGCAGAGCTTATTGTTTAGGCAAGAGACAGTCGTTCAATATATTTCGTTCTTCGGATATCGGAATCACTAAAATTGTAGTATATTTATTTACAAAGAATCTGCGTCCAACAGCGTCCTTCAGGACTCCCAGTCGGTGTCATCGCAAGGATTGGATATTTTTTTACAAATAATAATAATAATAATAATAATAATAATAATAATAAGTTTATTCATGTAACATACAAGTATAACTAAAACTACATAGGTATACGTAAATAAACTGAATTTACCCACAGAAGAATAAATTCTTGTGCGTGGGTATTAACTTACATTTTTACATAAATATACACATACACATATATACATATACAAGGTGTCCGCAAAGTTGGGGTTTTCCTTTTCAGAAACAACTACCCTTGAAATAACAAAGGTAATGTGTAGTGAAACGAGGGCGACCAAGTAAAAAAATAAAAGAAAAAGTACTCACTCTCCAGTTGACGAGAAGGGCTAAGTACGTCTCTGGCCGAAATCATACCTCTCCAGCAGAAAATGAAATCAGCTGATGCGCTACCGAGCAGACGTAGGCAAACAAGGAAGGCAAAATGTTGCGTAAAAAGTCTAGGTATTGCATCCCGTCCAATCGATTTGGGAGAATAAATGGTCCAATGAGCATACCGTTCACCATGCCAGCCCAAAAATTCACCGAAAATGTTTGTTGAAAATGTATCCGACGGACAGCGTGCGGATTTTCTACTGACCAAACATGAGTGTTGCGAAAGTTATTCACCCCATTACGCGTGAACGTAGATTCGTCTGTCACCAATATGCACTTCAAAAAGTCCGGATGATTGTCATGTTGATGCAACAACCACTCACAAAACCGCACTCTTGCTGGAAAATCGTCAGGTTGAAGGGCTTGTACACGTTGGACCTGAAACGGATACAGCCCCTCTTCACGCAGCGTTTGCCACAGTTTAGTTTTTGATACTTGCACTTCTCTAGCCACGTCTCTAGTGCTTGTTGAGGGATTCTCGTCTACGCGATTACCTCTATACGCGTGACCGTAACCGTCGGTTGAAGGTTGCATACTGACCTGACACACTGACCCCGACCCAGTTCTGTCGTCGGGTTGAGCTAGTGTCCTACTACCAATTGGGGATGTCGCGAGTCGCGGCTACAGGACGGTATTCAGATATTTTTGATGTTGCCGAGGCCTTTATATCGGTTCCCTTAAGACATTCGTGTATATGGTACTAAGAAAATTGCTTATGTTTTCAAGATCTACACGTCGTGTAAAGGAAAACCCCAACTTTGCGGACACCCTGTATAAATGATCAGGAGCCTCTGAATGTCAAAAATCGAAGTAATGCCATTTTATTTTCAAAAAATTTCGGCATTATTACAATACCTACTTCCCCGCCAGTAACGGTGGGAAGTAAGATTCATTTCACTACAAGAACTTGACACATTCGAACCTCGTGACTCTTTTACGAAATAAAGTTTCAGGTGGTATTTTACTGTGCATAGCCCGGATGCCTACTAAGGTCATACAAGTTGAATTTTCGTTCATTTTATTCTTGTATTACTTTGCTTATTTATTCTCTTTTTGTTATAGGGATTATACTGCAACCACGATACTGAAGTATGCTGCCAAATTCCTAATAGCCAGGTCGATGTGGACTTAAACGATGTGTTGCCGAAGTTATCTAAGAAGACAGTGCATCCTACTAGTATCAATGATCTCATATCTTCCGAAAAGAAGCTTTCTGCAGGGTCGTCGATCAGGATTGGTGGAACGGATGGCACATCACCTATGGCCATTCAGGTAAGGAAGATATCAGTATTTGTTAATAGCATGTTTTTTCTTAGGTTTGGTTGTAAACGCAGCAACCTATAGTTAGGGATCTCACGTATCATATGTCCTGTAAACAGGGTGTCCCAGAAGCCGGAAATGGCTGATAGGTCGTAATAGTTATCAGAAAAATATAAAAAATCTAACTAAAACCTGTCTTAAGATTTGGCATTTAATGGAACGACAACGTCGAAGATGTGTACTGCACCAGACTTAAATCATCATTCTGCATCCCTTGTTTGCTTCCTCCATCTTGATGACAAATAAAATGCACAAGCAGCTGTTGCTATCTCAACTACCAATTCTATAGAATACAAAGTGATGATCAGCGTAACTCTTTTGTTGCCAGATTTCATTATTTTGATCAGACAGCCATCTGTATAAATTTCGTTTCCTTTTTCTTTGCACGAATCATGAACTGTAACATTCCTCTTTGCCCAATAGAAAGAATTATCAATTCCACAACATTCATGCTGTTTTGGAGTTCATCTACGTATTTTTCGTCATCTTTCGTCTCGGTATATTTGTCAAACCTTATCTTTAATTCTTTTCTCTTCGTATCGTTAATATCTAGTACCATCCACTCATATAAACTCATTATTACACCAGTTATTCCCAATATTATAAGAACAATGACTTTATAGCAATATACAGGGTGTTTCAGTTGCATAACTTTAAGATTCGATAGAACTTTTAAAATTAATGCATAAAGTCTATATAAACATTTTTTCTTAGTGCAATTTTTTGCTTTTGGATAAAAAAACTGATTCTTGGCACTTTTCAACATAAAAAAAGCTCTCCTGTGAGTTTCGTTATAGTTAGCCCTTTTGAGATATTTCGATTTTCAAGGTTCGATGCATTTTTAATTATTTATGGGAAAATAATTTTTTTTTACATTTTCGATTTGGGCATCACAAGTAATTAAGATGATCATTTAGATTGTGTTTTTAAACACAGCAATAATTCCTAACCCCAAATAAACACAAAAAACAGAATATTAATTTGTTTAATTATTTTTAACAAATTAAATTAAATATTTACAACTAAAATGCTATTGGATAGTTAGGACAAACATACAAAATCTAAAGTAGTTGCTCGAAATGTAAACCCAATTGTCCAATACACAATTCAAATCTACGAATGATCGAACGTGGTATAGCATTATTCAAATAAAGCCTTATTTCATCACATGCATTCCTGATTCTGTCTATTAGCATATCTCTTGTGGTTACGGGAGTCTGGTACACTTTTTCTTTTAGAAATCCCCACACAAAGAAATCTAATGGATTTAGGTCAGGGGAACGTGGAGGCCAGGCGACTGGTCCTCCACAGCCGATCAATCTTTCTGGATAATTTTCGTCCAGCCAGTTTCTAACTATTCTCGAATAATGAGCTGGACAACCATCAAGCTGGAACCAGGCCAATCTTCTCAAATCTAACATAACATCTTCCCACATATTTGCATGTTCAGCCTTTAAAAAATCCAAGAAGGTCGCAGCATTTAACCTTGCAGGCAAAAGGTAGGGTCCAAATAGTCGATTACGGTAGATACCAATCCTCACGTTCACACTAAATTCATGCTGAAAATTTCTTTCCCGAACTGCATGCGAATTTTCATGCGACCAAATATGTTGATTATGAAAATTTACTACTCCACGTCTAGTGAAGCATGACTCATCGGTCCATAAAACGTTACTTAAAAACTCAGTTCTATCAAGAATCCACTGACCAAATGTGATTCTTCGTTCTCCGTCCCCTGGCTGTAGTCCTTGCACAGGTTGCAGATGGTAAGGACGTCTATGGTCATTTCTAAGAACATAGTGAACATGGCTTGCTGAAATTCCCAAGGCACCAGAAACTCTCCTAACACTGGTGGTCGGATCTCTATCAAACTCACACAGAATCATACCGGTAAATCTACGCTGACGAACATTTATGTTTTGATCCCTTTGGAGATTTCCAAAACCATTTTCAATTATTGGCGATGCACTCTTACAAATATTGAGCGAGTTGGATGACGAATGTTTGGAAATCTTCGTGCGTATTCTCTGGCTGCTTCTGCTGCGTTTCCATTTACAAAGCCATACACAAAATGAATATCCGCTAATTCTTGATTGGAGAATAAAAATGGCATTTTTATAAAAGTTACCAAAAAAGAACTGGTAAAAGAAACTAAATTTCGTGCATTCATAATTGTAAAAAAACGTTTCAGTTTTCAACAGACAACAAAACTAACTGTCAACTAATTGACGTTTAACCTTATTCTGCTTTCAATTTCAAAAATAGTTGCAGGCACAGCCTACTTCTAAAAATTATCGAGATACTGACTTTTTAACGTTATTTTATCATAAATAATAAAAAATGCGTCGAACCTTAAAAATCGAAATATCTCAAAAACGGCTAACTATAACGAAAATTCACAAGAGAGCTTTTATATGTGAAAAGTGCGAAGAATCAGTTTTTTTATTCAAAAAGCAGAAAATTGCACTAAGAAAATTTTTCGGTCATTTTAATACACTACAGGTACAGTAGAGAGCGCCCTCTAGCGGCTACAGTAGAACTATGCCCATGGTTCGTTTTGTCGTACCAAAAAACCCTTGTATACCGATTTTCACTGTTATGCATCAAATATTGTTCGAAATATTTAAAAAAACTATTTTAAGAAGCAAATTTAAACACCCTGTATTTCGGAAGCCACGCATTTTTCGACCCATGTTTATATAGACTTTATACATTAATTTTAAAAGTTCTATCGAATCTTAAAGTTATGCAACAATAAACTGAAACACCCTGCATACGTAACATTTTTGATTTTCTAAATACGCTTGCGAATATTTCTGTTAGCATAACTACATACACTATAAATGCTAGGATGTGAACTAACCAAGAGTGGTTGTTTTTGCTAGTTGAATGGACTGCAAGATACGCTGTTTCGAGGACGATTACAAAAATATTCAATGCTATCACGATCATTTTTGAGGTCTCATCGCTGCACAACATTTTTGGTGGAATTAGATCGATTTCGATAAGCTTTGATGACCAACATGTTACTAATACGTCAACCATGCATCAACTGGTGAAAGATATACAGAGTGACCCAGAAGTCGACGTCAAAAGGGTAGGACAATAATAAAAATATTTTGATCTCTTTCAGGTTAACGCTGATGAGAACCTGGACAGAAAAACTCAATACACAAGCGGTTCTTCCATCCAAACATCGACGCTAAAACCAACGAGAGAAGTAAATTCGAACGAAAATTCGATCTTCGCTAGACCGATCGACTATAGCAATGTCCATTTTGATAGCAACGTACGATTCGCATCGACTATTCAAGGGCCTGAGTACCTCCCTCCACTTGGTAAGTTAGTTAGTTTGGTGGTCTGATAAAAGCATTATGTTTTTCATCTTATGCAGTCCTTCGTTTCTGACATATTTCTTATTTAAATTTTAGTTGGTACAACCCCATCAATCTCCACCTATCAACCATCCATCCCAACAACGCCCAGGCCAGCTTGTCCACCAGGAACACAACTTACCCCGTCTGGAAGATGTGAGTCTGCTCAACCGCAGGAAATGTCCGCCAGGCACCATAAGAAAACCTGACGGCACATGTGAAAAACCAGCATGTCCGTATGGCTATGAGCAACAACCTGACGGAAGCTGTAAGAGGCTACAACCTCCAACAACGCCTCAACCTCAACCTACTGCGACACCAGCATGTCCACCTGGAAGGTACCCGACTGGAGGTGTGTAATGTTAATTTAATACATCTGGAAACTTGCTCAAACTTTGAGGTTAAGCTCGCCAGAATAACCTGATCAAAAGTTCTCTTAACAATCCTATGAAGCGTCTCCATGATACTATCCTGATGAAATTAATAATAATTTTCTTAATTGTATTCCGCAAAATTGTAGTAACGTGATGAATGTCTTGTATATACAGGGTTTGTCCGGAAAGTAATAGGACTGAGTCGATTTAAAAAAGTTTATTGAGCCAATCGTTACAATTCTTTAAAAACTTTCAAAATAGGCTCCTTCTGCGTCGATGCAGCGCTGCCAGCGCGATTTCCAAGCATTGAAGGCGTCACGGAAGGCATTCTCCGGAATAGCCTTGAATGCCGCGGTTGCATGCTGCTTGGATCAACTCTGTCGTCTCAAAATGCTTGCTATTCATCGGCCTTTTCAGACGAGGAAACAAAAAAAGCCCGGGGGGCCACATCTGGGCTGTAGGGCGGCTGCGGAAGCGTTGGGATGCCGGCCTTGGTCAGGTAGCTGTTCACAAGAAAGGCGGGGCGTTTTCGTGGTCGGCTGCGATGTCTTGTCGGACTGACCCTTCGTTTGAGCACTTCTACGTAAAACTTGGCGTTGACGGTTTGTTCAGGAGGAACAAATTCATGGCGGACGATGCCTTTGATGTACAAAAAGACAATGAGCATCGTTTTCACTTTGGATTTGCTCATTCTTCCCTTTTTTGGGCGAGGAGACGCCGTCGTGTGCCACTCGGAAGATTGCCTCTTTGTCTCGGGATCATACTCAAAGATCCACGACTCGTCACCTGTGATTACGCTATTCAAAAATTGGGGGTCACTTTCACACATGTTCAAATTTTCTTGGCGCACTTCCACTCGCCGCAATTTCTGGTCGTCAGTGAGCAGTTTTGGGACCATCTTCGCACACACCTTGCGCATGTTCAAATGCTGTGTCACAATGTCATGAACCACAGATTTTGGTAAATTTAACATCTGGGCAATTAAACGAATACCTAGTCGACGGTCTGAGTTCAAAATTTTGCGCACACGAGTCACATTATCGGTGTTTGTCGAAGTCAAAGGTCTTTCAGCACGGTCTTCTTCAGCGACCTCTTCCCGGCCCTCCAAAAAGGCCAGCGGCCACCGAAACACACCACTTCTTGCTAAAGCAACACCTGGGTAAGCCTGCTTGATCATATCAAACGTCTCTGTCGCAGATTTACCGAGTTTCACACAGAATTTAATCGCGTACTTCTGCTCTAACGAACGCTGCATTTTCGGCTTGCACCACTCACAGAAACACGTCGCGCGAAATGCCTGTCCTGACTCTCCAAGTGCTCGGAGACAACTGACCAGCCGCTCATTCGTTAGCTAGGAACGCCCTCTACCGAATCCAGTCGGTGCGCGCACACTGCGAAGTACAGTCATGGCGGAAGAAAATGAGTCCTATCACTTTCCGGACAAACCCTGTACAAAATAGAATTTGCACAAATGACTTCCATTTCAATCTAATCGATCGAGAACCGTTTTTATTTATGCTAATGTGCTACTTATGCGGCGCTTCTCCCTTCTCAGAAGTTTCCGTTGAAATGTTTATGTGTTATGGTTGGCTGGGACCACTTACTGAGATCTTGATATCTATATCATTATGCAATCATTTTCTTAGAAAATGCGCAGATGTGTCTTCATGTTGAAATTGGCATTCAACGGTTAGAGAAACCAATTCCCAAGTGCGTTCTCCTTTAAGAGCCTCTATCTCCGTCCATCGTCTTACGGAATAATGTTTCCATCCAGGTGGTAGGTGTTCCTCGCCAACAACGCCAAGCTGTCCTCCAGGAAGCCTGCGTCGACCTGATGGCAGTTGTGGTCCACGGACGGGTCCTACACCAGCACCCTGCCCTCCAGGCACACATCTGACGTCTTTAGGTGAATGCACTCCTGATACTCAAACAACAGTTGGTTTGCCCGTTCGGTTCAGTGAGACAACCTGATGGCACCTGTCAGACATCTTTGTCTCCCAGACCTTGCCCGCACGGAACGTTCTTAACTGCTTTCAGGTAGGTACATACATCGCTACGAGGAAAATATTCACGGGAAATAATTCCTACTAGGTCTGTAAATTAACTGATGAGTACCATTATCATTACCTATTTGAACACATTCATCCTTTGAGAAAGATCACAAGACGTGCATCGATCTGGTAAAAAGAGAAGTCCATATTTTGTTGATACCCTACCAGACTACCATAATTTTCATGAAAAAATAAAATTTTTAGAACATTTGAACAATCCGGATGCTATCCCGAGTCACTAAATAATATATGCACAATAAAAGTCTAACTCATGTAGTTGAAAATAGCGCCTAATTTGATCGAAAAAAACGTCTAAAAACAGGCTTAGATTTTTCGAAAAAAATGTGGATTCAAGTTTGTTGTTCACCTCTCCAGGAGCTTGTGAAGCAAGTTCAACACCTACGACACCTGCATCTAGATGTCCACCGGGAACAATCCAACAACCTGACGGAAGTTGCCAAAAGCCTGTAAACGCCCCTTCCAACTTGCCACCTGGAACATTAGGGGACCTTCTGGGGAATGCAGACAACAACCAACACCACTGCCAGGATGCCCAATCGGTTCCAACCCGTCAACCTGACGGAAGCTGCCAGAGAACATGTCCTCAGGATCATTCCCGGACCTAACGGGGAATGCAGAGGACTTTCTACACCATCACCAACACCTGGACCTTCTCCTTCGTGCCCTCCAGGCTCATACCCGGGACCCAATGGAGAATGCAGAGGACCTGCTACACCATCACCAACACCTGGACCTTCAAGACCTTTTCCTTCGTGCCCTCCAGGATCTTACCCGGGACCCAATGGGCAATGCAGGGGACCTGCTACACCATCACCAACACTGGACCTTCAAGACCTTCTCCTTCGTGCCCTCCAGGCTCATACCCGGGGCTCAATGGAGAATGCAGAGGACCTGCTACACCATCACCGACACCTGACCGTCAAGACCTTCTCCTTCGTGCCCTCCAGGCTCATACCCGGGACCCAATGGAGAATGCAGGGGACCGTTCACACCATCAACAAACCCCTGGATGTCCAGTAGGAACCGTTCAACAACCCGATGGCAGTTGTCAAAGACCTTCGAGCCCTAGACCTTCTTGTCCTCCAGGGTTCATATCTAGGACCGAATGGTGAATGCAGAAGAGCTACAACACCAGCACCGATACCCAGATGTCCAGTCGGAACAGTTCAACAATCTGACGGTAGCTGTCAAAGACCTCCACAGCCTTGTCCTCCAGGTGACTATCTAAACTTATTGCAGGAATAATCGACGTTACAGATGGATGTGATCTTACCGTCCAACTGAGAGTTATTGTTAAAGTCGCTCTTCTTATGGACGTGACACTGCTTAACAAAAAAAACGAACCAACAGTATTATTTATTATCAGATTACAGTTCATTGTCATATTTTCAGCAAAATCCATGGCATGCAATTTCTGCTTTCTAGGAACTTACCAAGCACCCAACGGAGATTGCAAGAGACGAACTACTCCAGCACCTATATGTGCACCAGGAACTATTCAACAACCTGATGGAAGTTGTCAGAAGCCTTCAACTCCAGCCACAACTTGTCCTGCGGGATCATTCCCAGGGCCCAACGGAGAATGCCGAAGACCAACTGTTGTGCCCCGTTGGAACTACCCAGCAGCCCGATGGAAGTTGCCAGAGACCCACAAGTCCTACATCCTGTCCTCCTAACACTTACTTAGGCCCTTCTGGTTCCTGCGAATCGGCTCAAACCGGCTCCACCACTACCACCGGTACACCTGCCTACGAGTATCCAAGGACCATGTCACCTGGTACCGTTAAAACTGCATCCGGGGCCTGCGAAGCACCACCTTCCTCTCCAAGACCTGCATGGTCCACCGGGCACCCCGCTCTACTCCTTTCGGCACTTGTGAACCAATCTATTCCGCCACAACTCCAAAACCGCCATCCAAGACCATTCGAACGTCCAACAACACCGAGCTGAAAAAGGATTACCTTCCACCCAAACCCACCACGCAGTACGTCCTTCAATCACACCCATAGACCTCATGAAACCTCTACCACCACAGAACACCGAACTAGTTATATTTCATCCACTCAGCATCCACCATTCAGCACGCCACGACATTCACAGCTCCTACTAAGCCATCTTGTAAACAAGGGCAAATACTGTCGTCTAACGGGGTTTGCGTATATCCTCAAACACCAGCCAATACACCTGTTGCACGTCCTGTTGTGACATGTCCTCCTGGCACTGTGTTATCTCCATTCACTAATGGATGTGTGAAGAGTCCTCAAGGGTTCACTACAGGCTATGACTATCAAAAACCTACTACGCCTTCTCAACCGTCGGTACCAACTACTTCGTGCCCCAAAGGTACTAAACCAATCCCTTCACAAAACAGTGCGATAAAGCTCCAGAGGTTACAACTGGTTATGACTATCCAAGACCTACTCTCCTCCATCTAAGCCTCAGTGTGGTCCTGGCGAAACATTGTTACCATCTGGCACTTGTAGACCAAAACCATATGGACCATCGTCTACTCCTAGACCATCTTGCAAACCTGGTCAAATATTTCGTCATCTGGAGAATGCATTTATCCAGCAATTTCTACAACGAAAAAACC